AACAAGAAAAATTTAGTGCTACAAAAATTCAAAATACGGTTGAAATTTTTCACTCACATCATATATAAATTTTACCAAGGACTTGTAAGGTCTCCCAGAACAATCAAAATAACCTGGATCCACAACGGAACCAGTTACTTTTTGCTGTGTTGTATTCTATATACTCCTACACTCTAAGATGAGATGTAATATATAGGACAGTTGCCATGGTTTGCTAGCACATCAGTATGTACGTACACTCTGTACATGTAAGTTCCCAACCTGATGTGCATACAGAGATAGAGTCACTATAGAAAAGCATCCAAATACCAAGAGGTGTTATGGTTGTGTACCCACACACACTGAGAACCTAACATGTGTGATGGTTGCTCAATAAATTTGGCATGTTCTTGCCTACACCACAATCAGAAAAATGCATGCCTGACCCTATACTGCTTTATGCCACATACACATACTCTTTGGATACTTTTTCAGACGTTTTGTACAGATACATTTTTTTTGTAATATTTCAATCTGTTGCATTGTACAATTTCCAGTTGCATAAATGACGACGCCTTGTTTCCCACAGGCTTATCATGTGTGAAGGATTATATTTAGTTCTAACACAGTGTCGGAAAAAGATTTATGACATTAATGCCTGCTTGATGTACCTATGTATTAAATCCTATTCAATGCTTCTAAGAGTATTGAAATTGCAGTAGGGGATCAATAATGGAACATAATATGCTACAGTGTCATCCTGAACTGTGTATAGAAGTTGGATTCAGCCTCTAACTAGATACATTTCTAAGCTTGATTCAATTTGTTTGCTTTATGCATCTCCTTGAAGATTGATGAGCAAACTCACTGTGGCATGAATGAACAATGGTTTTCGTGTAATTTCTCCAGGGTTGTTGATTTAAGCTGGACACTTGGGCTACTTTCACATCAGAATATTGTCTTAGTCTTCATTTTGTCAGTATTAATGCCCATGTAAGGCTTCAGTTTGTGGGGGAAAATCAATTGGCAACCGTACATGAGTCATTGTGTATACATGCAGTCAGGTATGGAGGCAATACACTACAAAGTTATTGTTTGACTATTAAATCTGCTTACAAGCATGAATAAAATTTTCACAGAAATGCCTCACAATCCAATTTTGTTCTGCAGTAGAAGTATTGATAAATCTGTCATTATAAGTATTTCTGATATTCTCTTGCTTTGACATTAGTTAAATGGGCTGGAATTTAGAAACAAATAAGAGTTTAGAGGTGACTTTCTCATGAGGAGGTATCAATTCAATTGTCTCTAGTTGTAATACAATAAACATTTTAGTAGTGTTAAATGAAAGTGACGTGATTGTATTCAGGGCATTCAATGTGGAAATGTAATTGAATTTTCAGAAGTCTGAGTTTGAGGCATTGGTGGGTTGCAATACAATGTTAATTGATTAGAATTTTTGTTATGGTGACAGTTAGATTGAAGAAAAATACTACCTTTTTAAGTTTTTTGTTCAAAACTCTTTTAGATTTAAAGATTTGCTATCATCAGCAATTTCCTGCATTCTTCCAGAACCAATGCACTCTCACCCACTGCCGCGAGATACTCTATATAAATTGTATTCATGATCATATATATCAGGAAAGCTCTTCTGAAGTATTGATTCTTTTCAAATTTGATAAAATATTATGCTCCTTCCAGAATGATAACTTGTAATTTGTTATTAATTTATGTATGCTTGAAATGTAGCAATGCCTTTTAGGGTACTGACCAGGATTAAGACACTTCAAATGCTCCAGTTTGCTCATTGGCCTACCAGAGTTGGTTAAAAAAAAAGCAAAGTGTGTGGGCTCAAGTGGAATTAAAAAACCCAAAATGTTATAATTTATGCAATTTATTTTGGAACAATCTAAAAAGAATGTCTGGCTTAGATTACTGTACAGAAATACAGGTTCCATTATTTCAGTTGACTTGTTTCTTCTTTATTTGATATTTTGGTTCAGTTGATATATGGCTTCATGCTTCAGTGCTTATATTCTACATCATTTGGGGCTGCTTTTCAATACAGTTTCCTACAAACCTGAATTACGTGCAGAACTATAAACTCACAGCTATATGACGGAGAAGTGCAATATTTCTGAGTTATACCAACACATTACTACACTGTAGGCTCCCAGAGCTTAACTTCAAATGCGATGCCTACCCAAAGCAAATCTAGTTCTGTCAATTTGCTTCATCTGGGAGCTAGTTTATCAACACCCAGAAGACAGAAATTTGATTTCCTTTTTTGCTGGAGTGGCTCTGAGTGTGTAAGCAAGAGCTTGCTTGCATGACCAAAATGAATTCTTGGAAAAGTCAATAGCTAGCTATTGTAACGCTTCCTGATTCCTAATCATTGTAATTATACAGAACTAGAACAGCAGGAAAAAAACTCACCAGATTACTAAACTATTGGCCTTTGTTAGTATAAGTATTTCATGAAATGACAGTTTGTTGCAAATATATATAAATTAATTTCAATTGTGTTGAATGAGATATGTAGGTGTTCCTGTCAAGACTTCTGGGTTAACACTCACCAGGCCATTAAGTATGTTACTAGTCTCACTTTCATGAGAAACAAATCAAATTACCACAGCACACTGATGGTCTTAACTTCAATCTGCCTTCAGTTTGAAAGACAAGTTAACTGTCCTAAGAAATGTGGGTTGGCATTGGCAGAACAGTCTGATGACAGGAAGTGGGAGATTCACCAACCACCAATTACTGGTATTGTGTGGGAACCTTCCAACAAGCCAATGGATTCCTGACATGGCAACCTAACATTCATGTGCCTTTGATACCAACAATTTCTTGGTTTCCGTTCTGTTTTATGTCATATCATTTAAAAGAAATAAAACAAGGGGCATAGAATCTAGGATATTTATAAAAGTCGCTAAACCTGTTAATGTGTTCTGAGTAATCAATGGAGAAGTCATGTTGTTAAAAAGGAACCGAGAAAATTACCGGGCGTTTTTTTATTGTTTCTTTAATCAGTACGTACATTGTACTGCTTCAGTGAAGTATTCACACTATTATATATCTCTCTTTAATGATGATGTCAGCATGTTATAAGAGTAGATCATCCAACGAAGCTATGTCAAATTTAGAAACTATTTCCTTTTCTTTTGTTGAATTAGTAAAAAGGAAACAATTATTGTTTTGTTCTCATTTTCTGTATAAAATGTTTTAGATAACTCATTAAAATATCTTTTAAAAAATATCCTGACAATTTTCATCAAAGAACATAACACAACAGTTAAGGAATCCATATGGCGTGTGAAGTTTCCTGGGCTCCAGTTTGTAGCTGTTGCGTCTGATTGCAAATTTATACAATTCTAGAGTAGATCTTGTACAAGCAAGTTTCAATTCAATTGGGAACTGGTATAGGACCTGTCAGTGCTGTGATTGATACGCCCTTCATTCAGTATTACCTTCCACAACCATTACCAAGGTCTACAGAGCCAGTTGAAATTGCTTTCTCCCCCTCAGCTACACTATATTGCTCTTACTTGTTAACCATTGATGAAATCTCAGCCAATCCGTTATCAACATGGTCCTGTAGGAGTGCGAAGGAAAACATACATAAAATAATTTATAAATGATCTAGAGTTTACCAATGGTCCATTATAATGATAAGTGGAGGAGAGAGTTGAGTCACTTGAGATACATTATTTTACAGGAAAATATTACAAAAGATATAACAGAGACTTATTTTAATACACTATTTATGAATGTGCTTGAACCTAATCAAGTTCTATATTTATGTACAACACAATTAAAACGCTATCCATAATCAACTACCAGGGTATACACAATTTTAGGAAACAAGATTAGATACAAGGAAAGATCTTTCCAAGGTTCTTCTTCCTTAATTTGAAAAATAGGATATTTTCTGATAAATGGGAATTGATGGTTTTCAAAATTTTGATATGTTCAGTTACCAATTATTTCCTCCACTTGTCCAATGAATTTCTGAAGTAATTTTCGTGAGTTTCGCGCTCAAATCGTTATATATGGCATGTATGCCAATTGCAATCAGCAATTCACAATTAGGCCTAGATGTAGTTTCACAGGGAATTCTCCGATGTATACAATTTGTATCACATTATATGCATGCTACATGTCTAATGTGTTGAGCATGGAATACACACATACCCATTTACTGGGGAACTTTCTTTATTGGTAATGCATGGTAATCAGTCATGAATTTCAATAAATCTCCTTTTGCTGAAGTGACTTAGAGTCAAAGCCATGATTCCGCTTACAGGTATATTGTACATGTACAGATGTTAGGATGCATATTACATCACCGTTCAATGTTTGAGCCTTTTTGTGTGTCGATTTTTAGGTATAAAATGAAAGTTGAAAGTTTCAACTTGAGCTTTTTTACATGTGTTATGAAAATATCCTGGTATTTCATAATTATTCAGAATTAAGTGTCATTTCCACACATTTATATGATTATCATCAGTAATGATGTTTTAGCAGCATTCCTTCCCTATATGTTAGATCCTGATTCTGTTCTATATCTAATAGATTAATGTTCTCTGTGTGGTTATACTGACAGTTACACACTTTGAACAAGAGGTTGCTGGTAAACAGTGCATCCTATGCACCACACTAACCACTGGTCGCAGAAGTACAAACCCTGGTCAATATTTCATCATGTACAGGCTCTTTTTAACATTATGACTTATCCATTCTTAATGTGAACCTATATATATTATTATGCAATTGATTTTGTTTGCCTCCAACAAATCCCGGAATCTAATAACAATTGGTTCATTGCCTCATCAGAGTTTATATGTCATCCAGTCAGACAGTGCTTAATTGACACAAATCATTTTGTATTTCAGCAAGCTTCATGTATTGTTTGTTGTTTTTCCCTTTTTTTTCTCCTTTTATCTTTACTTTTGTTTACTTTGAATTCGTTTCCCATGCTTAAATTTCTACAATGATTTCCTAACTTGATGTCATTTCAGACAATTCATTAACGTGAAGATTTACGATCATGAAGAATACGAGAAGAATGAAACTTTCTACATTGAACTTGAAACACCGATACTGTTAAAGAGAGGCTCAGGTAAATTAGTGTGTGCCCTTGTTGTACCCCCTGTCACACTTATATATAGAATCATGGCATCGTTAGCATTAGTACGTACTGTCCTGCATTAAAGTTCACCACAGAAAATTAATGCAAGATATCATTAAGTGCATAATGAATATTATATATACATTATATATTATTTTATATATACATATTGAATACCTATACAGAAACAGCAACACTTTTTATTGCACATAATTTAGCTTCGACACAAATTGCTAGCTTATCCCCCATTTTTGATTTTGTTTTCTATCTATGACTATAGTTGTTTATGCTGTGGTTTTTTTTTAAGTTTATTTAATTAGATAGCTTTGTTTTACAGGATTTTAGTGAGAGAATAGATTTACAGAATTATAGTGTGAGAACAGATCTCATTTTGTCATTTTTTAAAATGGTTTATGATATCAAAAGAAACCCACTGTTTTGCTGGTAAAATTTGCATCTGTATAATATATATGTTTTAGATTTTGTTTATCGTGATAAGACAACGCTCATCACAGAACTGCTATTTGTTGTGGCCAATACAACACTACTGCTGTCAATATATCTTGACACCATCGCTGTGTCACGGTTCTTGCAAAATTTTATTTATTTTTCACTTTTAAATGGCAAACAACTATTCAGAGTTATGTAGTTGTGAAGATCGTGTCACTTCTGTCACGAGGTGATAGAAAGAAGAAAAAACTAATGAATTGGCAAAAGTTTGTATAGACATTTTTGCATTTGCAAGTGTGCCTCAAAGACGTTTCTGATTAAAATACAGACAGACTACTTTATATTATACAGAAAAGACCATTTTTTTTTCTAAAATTGAAAAATTGACTAACTCTGAGTGACTAACTCAAGTTAGATAAACATGATGAAACAGCAGTCACTCATTGTAAAACCTTTATTTTACAGGGCTGTAGTAAACAGCCACCTAAGTCACTGATAGCATTTGAGCATTAAACAAAAATATTGGGATAATTTATGTTTACTATTTTTTCCGGGACCATAATCATTTTTTGTTGTGATCATAATGTTACAAGCAATGCAACTTGCAAAACTACAGGAGTATCGATTAAATGCTTTTTGATGGACTTTCTGTGAATGTAAAATATTCGATCCATTCCCTTTAAACTTATGTTAAATGAATGAAAACATCTTTGTTTTCCTGTATGACCCAATGTCTTTGAATATCATGAGAATGGATATTTTTTTTATAAACTAAACAGGTTTTTTTTGCATATATTCCACATGTACTCCCAATGAGGAGTGCTTTGCAGTATATGATGATCATGGTAGGAAATATGTAAAATATGAGCAATGAATGCATTATGTGATGGCCGATCACAAACAAACATCTTATTTTTGAGTTTACACCTGTGGTTTGGTACCTTAAGTTGAAGATAAAATCCTATCTGTACTGCCTAAGTAAATACTAATGAAAGTCTCTGTTTGTGTTCTTTATGTCAGGCTTCAGGAAACTTAGTATTGATGTTAAGGGTAGAATTTCAGACACTTCCAGAAAAAAAACACCTTTAGTTTTCTGTTTTGGCATAGCCTTTGTCATGCAGTCACAACATTTTGGGATATTCAAACTGGGTCACAGTTAGCTTGAGTACCATATTTTATCTAACAAATGCCCCATCCTTAAAGACGTGCCTATTCATCGTCTGGTTTGATTGTCCCATCCCTTCACCATAAATCAATGGCATATATACCTGGTACTAGACAAAAGTGTCTTTTATGCCAATTTTATGAAGAATTTTAGAGGTTCTATAATAGTTCAAATTTTTCAAAAATTGCTAAGTGCCCAAGGTTGAAAAGGTAAATATCAAATCTTAACCATCATTAACATATATATTAATGGGTTCTAGAACTGTTTTCATTAAATGATAAAAATAATAATATAAATTTTATCATACCATCATGAATGTAACACACATTTGTTACACTACACTTGTAGTTTTTGTGTTGCCTGCAAAGTGAATGTGATATATAGGGATCCCTGTGTCAGCAAAATCATTGGTGGGGTTGCCATCCTCTCAAGGTTCCTTGTGGTAACTCTTGCATTAAAAAAATAACCAATCTAATTTGATTTGAGCCAGATCTGAAATTCAATATGGTCACCTTTGACCATCTTACATTTTAGCACCTGTGGTGTTTGTGCAGTTACTCTTAAAGGAAGGCTTTAATTTTCAGGAAAATTCTTTCGAATACTGATACAGTTTCTATTCCCCACTCAAGCTAGGTTTTGGTATGGATCCAAAATTCAATATTGCTGCCAGTAACCATCTTGGATTGTTTACAGATATGATTCCATAATATTATGTTTTGGAAAAAATAATCAGATTTTAATGAAACTTGCCTATTGTACTTACTTCCCAAGTCTCCCACTTAAGTTGGATGCTTGGCCAAATTTTGTACATAAAAGTGTATCTAATGAAATCGCTGTGATCTGATTGGCTAATGGTTTCTTGACGATATATTTTGAAGGATTGAATACTTTCTCCAAAGTCGATTTGCAAACAATGAGGCTGCTATGATCTGCTAACAGTAAATATATTTCATTCCATTCCTTCAACATAGATAACACTGGAATTCTTGTTAAAACTCAGATGTTAAACTTTAAATGAGAAATATCAATTCTCAAACCAGGAATATATTTTTGTTGGGTGCTTTTCATGGTGCAGCCAAGATCACCCCATCTATTTGCTTAATTAACTTAACATTCTTGAGCTTTCACCAAGATAATTTGTTTACTCTGACACATGTTCAATAAATATTTAATCTCCGAGAGAGTTTAAATATTATTGGATAATTGGATGTCTTACATGACTTGTATAATCATTCAGGTCTTAATCTAAGGCCATGATAACATTTTAGTTATTTCAGTATTTTTTTGCATTTGCACATTAGAAATTTTCTTTGTACTGGTATCTTAAAATAAGCTGTCCCAAAAATTGTAAAAAAAAAAATGTTATATAGTTATATAGGTTGTTATGTTAAATGCAGAGGTGAGCAACCATCACATGAAAAAACGATCAGTCGTTTTCTTTGGTTTACTCTAATGCAGTTTCATTCCTGGAAGCTTGAGTAAAGTGATAAAGAATTCACCCAGATACGAAATATTGATTAAAATGGAGAAAAAATGGCTTAAAGCTTTAATCTATTGAGGTTTGCTTTCTGGTAAAAGATGATGTCCTGAGTGATAGAAATCCTCCAGAGAACACAAGGGAGTAGGTACCAAACTCACATCATACAATATATAGGCATTTTCTCTGATGTTGTTGGCAATATTATAGGATTGAAAGTTTAGCAGACAAGTTCATTTTAGTGTTATACTATCATTGAAAAGTGCTGAAATGGAAACAAAAGTAAAAAGGCTGATGGTATCCTGTGTGTTGCAGAAAGATGGAAACAAGATTTGGTACCTGTTTTATGGTTTGTAGAGTTGGATCACTGAAGTGCACCGAGAATATTATTGATTTTCCCCTGTTTTCTCATCTACATTTCCATTTTATATTCTCTGTGTAATTTGGAGTAAATCAATCATTCTTGGTGATTTTTATGTTGCTCAAATTACAGACAGAAACATTTTTATTACAATGGAAAGAATCCCATTGCTATTAAAAGAATTGTTTTTATAATAAAATTGCAGTGGTATTAATTGCTTACAAGTTGCAGTTGTTGCCAACCGACACCTGGTCGAGAGTTTTATCATTTTAACAAAGCCAATCCCCACTACATGAATAATAAATTGTTGTTCATTCATACCTCCCTGTACTATACAACATCTACTTTGCTGTGAACTTGTAAACCCTGAATTATTCATCATCGCACTAAACACACTGCCACACAACTCAGTGGTTAATGGCTGTCTAAACAGCTTTAATCAAAGATATGTACAGTACTTCTAAACAGCTTTAATCAAAGATATGTACAGTACTTCTAAACAGCTTTAATCAAAGATATGTACAGTACTTCTAAACAGCTTTAATCAAAGATATGTACAGTACTTCCAAACAGCTTTAATCAAAGATATGTACAGTACTTCCAAACAGCTACACTATTACACACTGCCGTGGAGTTCTCTTTGATTATTTGATTATTTGATTATGGAAATCACTGGTAGTTTTCGATACATGCAATATATCAAATGTACTGCAGCTAGACAGGCTGGTTTTAAAGCTATTTAAATATCTTTCTCCTACAATGGAAACAAAAAATCAGTAACGAATGCTGTTTTTCTTTTGTCATTCATCCCTTGTCCATCACATTATCAAGTTCCCGTTCAACTAATAAGAATAATGATGCTAAATAAAGTAAGGAAGACTTCTTCATTGTTGATGTCAAATGTTATATTAAATGTACAATCACTCTTAGTGCTAATGTCAATTGATTGTCCACAGTAATTGTCCTTTTCCTAAAGGTTTGCAATCCCCAAAAAATACACAGGTGGCTTGTGGAAAGGGTACCCTTTTTGGCTTTTAGCTTAATATCCCCCAATGGTGAACAGGAAGGTAAGGGTTTGTATTCCATCTGTCTGACTGCATCATTTTGTCCAGGGCATATCTAAAATACTGCATTATTTTTAAGTACCGCTTCGGATGGTGGATAGTCGAGTACTAAAATCAGGTCTTTTGCTGCTCTATTTGCAGAGTTATGGCCCTTTGTCTACTGTTTAAAACATAATAAGTAAAAAATATACACACAATCTTAAACAATACAAATTAAGTTAAACTGCTTGAACCAAGAGTCTTGCGATTATCAGAAGTTTTATTTCATAAGAGTAGTGATATCACACTATGATACCACTTTCGTTAGAAGACTTTTAAATGGGTTTCAATGTCTTGTGTTCACTTTAAATTCCATGGAAGTGAAACTGCTAGACTTACGTATTTTGACCTATTTTGAAAATAAATCATTGTGAAGTCAAAGGAAATCTTATTACAAAATATTTCAGCTGTTTGCACAAGTGTATCTTTAAAAAATTTGAAAGACAAAGTTTCAAAATATGATTCTGATTCATGAAATCCTGGTGGACCATTAAAATGTTCATCAAAAGCTGGAGCTGGGAATGTTGTTATCTTGCTGGAAGGAAAAGAAGATTTATTTGACTTTTCATCTGGCACGTAACCACGACTAATTGTTTTCACAGTCGGAAATCAACAACTAGTTAATTATAATGGAGAAATCTAGCTTGCATAGCAAAATCATATAGAGACTTCTTTTCTAAAGATTGGATCAAATTAAAATTGATTAACTATGAATTTCTATGACAACATAACTGCATGTATTTGCCAATTATGACATTTTCCTGCTATGCAATGAATTGCTTCATGTCAAAGTTTCAGATTACCTTAAAGTTTTCCATAAACCATTTGATTGCTTTTGGAAATGCAGTCATCACTGAAAGGCCTTTGGGAATCATTGAAAGGATATCAAAAATACAAATTTAATTCAAATTATCACTTCTGTGAGAAAGTTCGTAAAAGTCTGAAGTTTCATCCAATAAATTAGGTATATTCATTGTGTTGTATGATTTAAGAACAGAAAATTATTCATTTTTAGCAATCTTTTGGGGAATGGTTGAGTCATGAAAGTGTAAAGGTAAAATTACACAGCTTTGCAGTAGCTAAAAAAGAATGGATGTCTTTAAATGTCCTAAAACTGGAGGCTATTGTATTTTATTTACTAATCATGGAAGGAAAAAGGTTTTAAAATAACACCTTATGATGTTCAATGCAGTAATCAGTAGCCATGAACTTATACCATGTACAATCAGCATCTAGCTGTGCACAAGCAGAATTTCATATTGCTAAAAAGGTAAAAAAATCACGATACTCATAATAAAAACCTTTCTGAGGTGTAACGGTTTTGATGGAACGTCTAAACTGTACATTCAATTCTACAGTTCTTTATTATAATTTTACTGATTTTGGAAATATCTAGTTCTACAAATATCTAGGACTACTGGTATGCTTGTTACTCAAGTAATGGCCCCTAAATTTTGTATGTTCAGTTTGTGTACATACATGCACACACAGTTAATCTATATGTACTGTATAAATACAGGCAATTGTCTTTTTGCCAAAAGATTTGAAATATTGATAACTCGCTCAGCGGCAACTGCATGCACTAGCCAATAACATAATCTGTCTATCTCGTTAAAGATTTCTTTGTATGCTCATTCCAAAAAAAAATCAAAATTAAGAGGTGGGATGATTAAATGAGATGTTTGAGGCTAACGTTATTGGTACATTCTTTTTGTCAAGAGTGGGAAGGATGGGATGAGGTGTAATTTTTTTTTTTTTTTTTCCAATCTGAACACAGACTTCAAGTTAAAATTAACACTTCATTCTTAGCATGCAACTTAACTTTTTTTGCAGTTAACAAGATTATGAAATAGAATGGTACTAAGAAGAATCTCTGTATTAATGATGGTTTTTAAAATCTTCCTTTTTGTAGTGGAGGATCTAGGTCTTGCAGATAAGTATCAAATCCACGGTTTTGGATTTTGATTGATATTATATTGTCTTAATACTATCCCGTATGGGAGTTGATTGAATTGGTGCATTCACACATAATATATATCTACTCTCCCAGGCTGGTTGGTTGATTTATCCTGCAGCTCAGTTCTTAGACCTATATATTTTGTGTTTTGACAGTTCAAAATGGAGGTAAAACATTCTTCACTGCTTAGATGAGCTTCATTTTTTTTTTTTTTTTTTGCAAATGCCCATGCCAGCATGTTTTCCTATGATCTGAACCTCCAAAATAATTATCATTACCTTGTAATCATAATATTGTATTTCAGTTAATAATTTTGTCTCTTTTTTAAGATTGTTTTTAATTATTTCAGACTAATATTATTATTAATTCAAAAGTGTTTGTGGACCACAAAGATTTAGAATTCCTGATTTTGGCCGAGTAGTAGTGTTATCCAGTGAAATATTGTTGACCTCATGTTAACCACTTCTGACGGTCACAACACTTGTGTCTGGTCATCTCGTCTTGGTATAGTAGTATTATATGTCCTCTATTTGACATGTGATTGGTCAATTTACGTCAAAGTACTGCAACATATCTCTGACTGTATGTTAAATGGTAATCGTGATGTTTCTAACCATACATGTAAATTCAGCATTTTCGTATTTGACTTGCCATGTGACCTGTATCCCATCCCTATTTCAGACAAAGCATGAAGACTAAAACCTAGTAGATTATCTGGTTACATTCAAGATACATTGTACACCCTAGATCTGTCAATCAGGCTGTGTGAAACTCAAAGGTTTCACACACTACAATGTATTCCTTATAGCAACATTTTTGCTGCATAATACATGTGAGGCTATTGAAATCCTTTAGAAAATAGTTCATACATGTAACCAAAGTCTGATAACATTTTAGATATACATGAAATTGGTTTCCTTTTATCTTGTATCAATGTTGATGTCTTGTGCAGGAAGCTATGCAAGTCAATTAAACAAATTAGTGACAGCAGATTAGTGGATGTTGATACATTCTATTAATCATTATTAGTGAGATATTTGAGAACCTGCCAAAAGACAATTTGTTGAAATAGAGATAAACTTACAAGGTAAAGTCATGATGTTCATTTGTAAGATTATCCCATTATTCCAGGTATCTTGAATGGCTAGCATTGAGACCAATGTTCATGGCATGGTTATGTCTCCTTGAATCGGACAACATGAGCTTCCATATATATGAGAATACATTCCTGATAATGTCAGAAAATTTAGATAAGTTTCAATAAAAATAATTGTATAATTCCATCAGTCAAAAGATCTTTACAAACAATATGAAATATATTTATATAGAAAGGATTTTGAGTTTGATTTACAACTTATAAAATCATAGTTTTATTTGGGCCATTAATTCAAAGTAAAGAGAAAAAGTATTTTTTTCTGAGATGTTGAATTCTGTGAAACCAATGTATGTATTTGAAAAGAAGTGGGGTCGAGTTAGAGGTTATTGGAAGCTCAGGTTGTTAGATTGATAAGGCAGTAGCTGAAAACCTGTGTAGCATGGAACTTTCCCTTTAAACCATTTCATGATTGGATAAGGTGCTTTATGAAAATTATCTCTTATAAATATTTATACATGTATGCATTTAAAAAGATGTTTTGATTTTGAACAGGGGTAATTTGTATTCTTCATTTGAACAGGGGTAATTTGTATTTTTCATATTAAATACATTCAATCCATTGAAACTTGAGCTTGTGGTAAATAAAAATGTATTAAAATTAAATATCTATCACAGAACTTGTCTTCATTGAATAGAAATTATTTTATCTGTTTCATATATTTTCATTTCTGGGTCATTTTCATTTTCAGGTACATTTTCTTGATATTTAGTAATAGTAACCAATGGCTTTTTATTAGTAAAACATATTTTCTTAAAATGAAATGGAATATGAAAAATTATATTGACACAATGTAAATAAGGGTAAGAAGGCATTTAAAAATGCTATGACCACTTCTGGAGCTCTCATAAAAAACATAAGACTTCACACATAATGTATCTAGCCAATTGGTTATTATCCATGAGAAACAGTTTTGCGGGTTAATAAACAACTCTTTTACGCATTTATTACTGAATTTGTAGTTTTGAAGTAGAAGCTTTCCAAAGTTTGCTTCAAAAGTTTGGATTCAGTCTGATGTTAAAAAAGTTTCTGAAAATGCTATATATTTTACAAACAGATGATTTATTGGTTTTGAAGTCAACAAGAATGCTTATTTTTGTTGTAATTATTTTACTAGGTAAATGTGAAAATATGGATGTGGAGGATACAGATGTGGACGAAGAAGGAAAACCAAGGCTTGGTGAAACCACCAGGATCTGTGTCAACATCCGTGAGACGGTTGAGTTCAAGGTTAGTTCTTCAGAAATGTCAAGGTTACGCACTGTACAGAGTTCAAGATCATGCTAGTTCAAGGTCATCAATCTGAGTGAAACAAGATGGTAATGATTTCCTATCACCATTAACAGGTCTACATAGTCACAGATTTAGTGTAATTCTATGAGCCAATATTTACTTTGGTCTATAATGGAGTACATTCTAGTGTTTTGTTACATTTTTGATGAGTTGTGTTATATTGATGTGGGCTTAGACATACCAGTCCTAGTCATTAAAGAGCCATGTGTATTTATGTGTGTATATGTATGAATAACACTTCATTACATTTTTCCAATAGGTGACTATATAATCCAGATATTTGTTGAAGTATTATAAGAAATGTTGTAATGGCCTATAGTTTAAATATATCATGATAGGGATTTAATAGGAAGCATCCTTGTGGTTAACATCTTTGTATGATCATTATACACAAATATACTCTTTACAGTAAAGTAAGAAATCTCTTATTCTGTTGAATGGTATGTAATCAATTATACTGATCCAATGTTAGCCTCGAGTGTAGTGGATCAACATCATCTGTCAATAATCAACAGCTGTATCATTAGAATTCCTTGTTGGCATGGTGATCTTTCTTACCCAGTATAATAAAATATATCAAATAACATTCAAATATCATTACAATCCTCTTGAGAATAAAGTAATGTAATAGTAGGGAACAGATAAATTACTGGTAATACTTGAAAATCGTGATTGATAAATCAACTAGGCAATTCATGTTAGACAGAAGCCCCGTTAGATTGATTGGAAACAAAAGCAGTATGAAGCAAAGTAAACACCACTTAATACAATCTGTCTGTGGATTGCATTTCCAGTTGAACCTCTTGGGTATCTTGAATTCTTGCTTCAGCCCATCGTTACCACAAACTTTCATTATTCTGCCACCTGTTGACCTCCATTGTCAAACCTCTGGTGTCATTGTGGGTACAGGATTGGACAGTTTCATTATCTATTGTCTGGGTTCCAGATAATCATTCCTTACTACAAACTTTGTCAATAGTCTGTAGGAGCTTATTCAATAGCCAGTGCTAAAGGCTAGCATTATGTTTGCTGTATATATCAATTCCCATCAGAATTGTTGTAGCATTACCAGTAATACCAGTATTGTAAATGAAATCTTCATGCAACGTTGGCACCACATATGGTTCCAATTTTTTTTTTTAATAATCATTGTTTCTTCAATATAGTAATGTCTACTAGTGTCTGCTTACTGTACGGGATACAGGTTTAGGCTGCTTCCCACAGCATTTTACCGTCAGGGAAAAGTAATAACATTGCCAAATCTTTGAAACATTCCACTGCCCTCCTCCCTTTTACTTTTTTTTTTTTTACATATAAATAAGATAAAAAAAAGTCAATTTAATCTTCAGTTTTATATAGGATTTATGATTGTTTGACAATGTAGACCTTAGATCTGATTTGATGAAGTCATTGGACTGGCACCAACAATGTCAGTAAAGAGTTTGGCAATGCCAAGTTATGTATTGACAGTTAGGGATTGAGGTGACCCACATAAAGCTCATGTAATAAGCAAAGGTGGCTTTGGTTGATATAATTTTAACTTCAGCGGGATCATCATTTTATTTCTTGAGTTCAAAGTTGATATCATAAAGGTCTACAAGAATTATCAATGTTTGGTTAGATGTATGTAAATGGGATCACATTGGTCACAATGATGTCAGAGGTCATCCTAGAGATCAAAGGTCGTTAAGCTTAAGGACGATTTTGAAAGTCAATGAGGTCCTGACAGAACAAATTTAGTATGTATACTATTTTTGAAACCAAGTGACAAAACCTGATGTATATATATACTTTAAGATATCATCTGTTATGACCTAAATGTTTTTTGTGGTTCATTATCTGTGTATCTCAATAAAGGTTGTACAGCATGTAAATGTGTGTTCCCAGTGATGATTGCCAACACTGTCAGGGGTTTGATGCCACACGAACACCAATGCATTATATATATAGCCTTCAGCTCATCACAACTTATCACCTGTGCTTCAACACATTTTGCATCTTTTCATCTTCATAATGAAGAACACACCATTTTCTTGATGCTGATAGAGCACCAAAGTGGATCAGCCAATCTGCCAACATAAACCATATGATAGTTATTGGTGCCAGACAGCCACCCTATAAGGGTGACATTCTGGACTGTCTCCTGTGGAGCTTAGCATCCTCCTGGTATCATCTATATCAGTAATGTTGTCCTAGAGCCATGTGGAATTTGTTTCATTTGTTTGATTTTGATGAACACAGATTTCAGGAAAGCTATTTTTATGAGGGTAATATAGAAGACAGGGAGAGATGGTTAGCTGCATGCATGCAGGGACAACCTAATGGATGTGAAGTGGAAAATGCATCAGAACTTGAGTTGATATAATGTGTATAGGTAACAGATATTATATATCTGACATGATGGTGAACCATTATAGTATCTTGTTAAGTGTTTCTCTGTAGCTCTGTTCTGGCTTGTACTGTTATAGAGGGTTCTCACACATTTGGCATATCAGTGCTACAGGAATTTGTCATGCAAACTCTACACCAAACTGCACCAAGTTGATAAAAGTCTATAAAAGAACCAAAGTGGTCAAACATGTCATTGCTTTTTATATGAAAGGAACACTTTAGCAAACCCATTTACATGTGTATAAGAACTTTCTTGAAACCAAGATATTGAAGTTTAAACTTACAAAAATATTTTTCATTTTTTGTGTAATCTTGCAATTTTAAGCTAACAGGTTTTTGGATCATGAAACAGTCTTAGAAGTCCGTCCAAAGTTGAATTGTGTCCATTAAATAAGTATTTCTTCTGCAAATCATTTAACATTTTGTGAAAAAGTATATACACTGTATTGCAATACCTGATTGTGCATTTCCATATAGCACTAAAAAGCTAGGCAGCAATCAATATAGCTAGAGCCAGTCTACCATATATATACTGCAACAGGTTAGTCCTTATATATAGCTGGAGCATGTCTACACAGATAGAGGTGTTAGGCGGTGAACTCAGGTTTAATAACTTGTTTATCATGAAATATTCACCAGTATGGAAAGTGTAGGAGTAGATTGATGGCTCATTACACACTAATTGTTATTCATAAACCTTCTGAAGACAAACAACACTCCTTGTGGCAGAGAATATCTACCTTTAATTCTTCATTCCTGGAAGATTTTCACATCTTGATTGTAGATACAGTGTGTACTAGTGTAAGTGATGTCTCCTTCATTTTAGTTCAGTAAGTAGGAAGGAAATCTTTAAAATGAAAACCTGAAAATCTTAACCTGACACATTTACTGCTACAATCATGAATACTTCATTACATAGCCTATACATTCCTCCACCTTACATGATTCCAATTATACCTGCAGAAATGGTACAGTAAAGTTTCTTTAGATAGCTAGACTTGCATGACAGAGTAAAGAAGTTCACAAAGGGATGACGTTGTACACTATACAGTCTTTTTTTACTGAAAATGTTCTCTAAATTCCTGATATTTCTTCTAGGAAGCAAAGGTCATACCTATATAACAGGTCTTCAAATGAGCCTTTTGAATGTAACAGAAAAAACGTTTATCAAAGACCCCACCAAACAATCTGTCGTATGTATTAAGAGTAACCAGTGCTATTCAAATGACTCCTGGATGCGTTTGATGGTATTAAAATTTGACATTTACTGTACATGCATACACTCATATGTTAATTCAGTTCACCAGGTTTTAAAGCAAAGACACATCTTACTTCAGGGATTGACATGAGATATATGTCTTCTGTCTCCTATTCTCTTGACATACATAATTTTATTTCTTCGTCAATAAAATGTGTTAAAACGAGAAGTACGGTATTGATCAGGGTCAAGTCTAGATTTAACATAAGTCAACAGTGATTGATTGAATCTTCAACAAACTTACAGTCATGGCACAACTTTGGAAACTGCTGTAGATTATTTCCCCAAGACCACACACTTACTCGGCTAAGGGGTTAGATTAGTAATGCAAGATATATAGAAACTAGGACTGTGTTATTGTGCAGTAGGATATCATGTTTGAAAGAATAACAAATATCAAAAGTCCATTTAAATATTTTTTGTTACCAATTTCATAACTTGTTGCCAGGTACTCTTGTAATGTTGGAAACTGCTAACATTGCTCAAACAGTGGTGATAGTTGTGGTGATGTGATTCCGACAGTGGTGATAGTTGTGGTGATGTAATTCCGACAGTGGTGATAGTTGATGATGTTACTGTGACATTGGTGATAGGTTGTGATATTATCTTGACAACGGTAATATGTGAGATGGTTTGGAACATTGTAACTTAAGGGCCAAGGTTTTGATTTTTGGAATGTGATGACCATTTAGAACTAGAAACATTGAAGGTGTTACAGTTCTTTTTTATAAAATCTTGTCAAGATTTTGACCTTTGATGTTTGTGATATTTTTTGAACACAAGAAGATGATGGTGTATCTACTTTCCATTGCCAACATTTGGTCATCAGCTGATGGATGTTATAATTTGGAACATAACAACTACAGATTGTTACTGTTCTGTGGCCATACCTTTGCTATTGAAAAGGAAGGAATAGTTTGAAACTTCCTATGATATTCAATTTATTGATACTTATGTCTGTGGGACCTTTGAAAAAGAAATGGCAAAGAAATCAAAATGTCAGGCTGAAGTGGACAGTATGGGTCTGCACAGAGAACACCACCTGGTGCCAGTGGTGGGACATCAATATATAATAATTGTGTTAGATCCAAAGCACCTCACTAAATGTCGGAAACTATTTGCAGTTAATTCTGTTTCAAACATCAACACTAACACTTGCAGAAGGGATGCTGCTAAAGCCTACGTGCCTCTTAGACATTAATGTATTTCTGGTACATCTGTGTTGTATTGAATTAAGAAACTAGGATACTTGCTAATAATAAGGTTTTGGTGTAATGTATCAAGACTTTCTTGAAGAAAAAAAATTCTGAATGATGCATCTACATTAATTGTATTCCTCTATCTGAATCGATTCAAAATATTATTTTACCAAATCTTCTATGGGATTCTCCAATCCTTTTATATTTGGTTCAATATTCTAAACGGATATGGATATGGATTGCTTTACTTTTGTTCCTCAAAGATAGTGTACTATTTTGGAATCCATTACATCAAAGACTGATGATGAGAGTGAAGTTATATGGATTCACAATAGGAGGTTGATATCCCCCATTGAGTAAAATGGATTGAGTTTGTTTGAAGAGCTTGAACTACAGTAAATAGTTCCTAGCTTCTAGCATACATTTTGTTTACCATGTAATGATTGCAGACACTTATTTAGACAGGTATGATGTGTGTACTTTTTCCTGAAATTCATGAGTAATTGATTTGTTTGTCCAAATTCTTCAAATATAGAATCTGTGTAGAATTTCCACTGTAAACAGTAATCTTTAATGGCTATGGCACATTTTTCTGAAATAATTTAGGAAAATGTGTACTTAGGGGTGGGAGTTAAACTGATTGTGGCCATCTGAGGACCTTCTTCCAAAATCAAATATTCACCAGGAACATTTGTGTTTAAGTGTGACAGTGGTTAAATGTACGGGTTCATGTGTGCTTCATACAATACAATGCTTTGGAGATGATTGGGTCGAATGTTAAAGCAAGGGTTGTCACGGGTACATAATTTCAAATGTAGCTATCAAAGCCAGACCCATGCATGGGTACTTGTTGTAAATCATGTTGCCATGCAGTATCACAAACTATCACCTCTATCAATAAATAATGTTTGAAATGCTCAGAACAACTGTCCATGTTTCTTTGTTTTAGCAGAGAGCAATGCATAAAATTAGAAAGACGATTTGTGTTGAATCTATATAAAACAACATTGTATTATCCTGTAAGAAATCTTCTTGGTGGCACAGAGTTCATATCGAAGTACTAAGTGATACATTATGAATCAGGTTCCATGAAATGAAAACATATCTATATTTCAGTATTTACATATCTGTTGTATCAATTCTAATTAAACCTCCCAATCCAAATGTTGTTGTGGAAATGTACCACAGTGACATATTCCATGTGAATGTTTTCTAATTGGAAACTGTTCAGGACTTCTCGGCCTTACTCACTATACATATATATGATCAGGGGCCAACCTTGTTAAGACATATTCCCTGTGAATGTTTTCTAATTGGACACTGTTCGGGACTTCTCGTCCTTACTCACTATACATATATATGATCAGGGGCCAACCTTGTTAAGACATATTCCCTGTGAATGTTTTCTAATTGGACACTGTTCGGGACTTCTCGTCCTTACTCAGTATACATATATGATCAGGGGCCAACCTTGTTAAGACATAACATTTATGTACATGTATTGACTAAAATTCCTGAATGATTTCCAATTGATGTTTGTCACTTGACAGAAATGTTTAACAAAAAAACACCCCACTGTTCTCAAAATAATATCTGTTCGAATATAAGTGAAACTGTTTGTTTAAAATACGATGTATATCATGATCCAAGACAAACCTGACCCAGAAAGATAAAGTAGAATTTTCTTTATTGTTTTAAATGAAAATATATGATGCTTAAAGAGCAAAATGTTTTCCTTCGTTTATCAATAGAGACAGATGTCCTATAGGTTTGGTGAATCTTTTATTTCTATTCCTCGAATCCATCTGTACTTGACAACAGTTATAACGTTAATTTTAATTTCCCCAGAATGTGGTTGACAAGCTGTTGAAGAAGGCCAATGTTTCCCTGGTAGTGGGAACCTCCTCCTGGAGGGAGCAGTTCGTGGAGGCTATCACAGTTAGCGCTGGTTAGTGTACTTCTAGCATTTTCACTCTTGATTTTGAAAAGAATTAATGCTGAAAATTAAAAGGTCGTAAGGGTTATGTGGTATGCATATTGTGTACAGCTGACCTTAATATCCAAACTTACAACGGTACTGTACCAAGAAAAATGAAAAAATTAGGTCATGATAGCTGCTTAAAAGAAAGATGTAAATCCACACCTGTTTCATTTTGTGTTTTAGCTTTCAGCAAATACTTTTGGTTTTCGGTCCCGTCAATAACCATATAAATGCATGTTAAATATCACATGTCTGGTATATATTTACTTCTGAACTAAAAGACTGACTATTATAACTGTTATATATATATATTCTGTATGCAATGTAAAGTGCCTTTGGAGTAATTATTATAAATATGATAAGAGTACTATATAAATGTTATATATTTACAGGTGAGGATGATGATGAGGAGGCAGAGGAGAAACTTCCATCCTGTATGGATTATGTTATGCACTTCCTCACCCTGTTCTGGAAACTTCTCTTCGCTTTTGTACCTCCTACGGGTGAGGCTGCCAGTACTACAAAAAGTCTTTCACAATACAAAATTGATGCATTATTTCTTATCTGTATTTATCTTTATATTAGCTCACCTGGTCCGAAGGACCAAGGTGAGCTTATGCCATACCGTAGCGTCCGTCATCCGTCCGTCGGTCCGTCTGTACGTCAACAATTTCTTCAAACGATAACTTCTTCTTAACCACTGATCGGAATTTGACTAAATTTGAGTGGAAGCATCCCCAGGTGGTGGCCATTCAAAATTGTACAAATGGTGGGGCTGATTTGGGGCCAAAAGGGGGTAATTTGGCTATATTGCTATAGACGACTTCTTCTGTAGAACTTTGTGATAGATATTTATCATATTTAACTGGAAGCATCACTAGGTAATTGGGATTCAAAATTGTACAAATAGTGGGGCTGAGGGGCAGGGCCGAAAAGTGTTATCTGGGTATATTGCTGACTTCTTCTCTGGAACTAAGAGATGGATATGAACCATATTTGACTGGAAGCATCCCTAGGTAGTGGGGATTCAAAATTGTACAAATGGTTGGATTGACCCCCAGGGGGCTGACGGGTGGGGCCAAAAAGGGTTATTTTGCTACATTGCTTTAAGCGACTTCTTCTCTGGATCCAGAACCAAAAGATGGATATCAACCATATTTGACTGGTAGCATCCCTAGGTAGTGGGGCAAATTGGCTTTATTGCTATAAACGACTTCTGTAGAACTATGCACTGGATTTAAATAATATTTGGTCGGAAACATTCATGGGAGGTGGGGATTCAAAATTGTACAAATAGTAAGGCTGACCCCTCAGGCTAAGGGGTGGGGCCAAAATTAGTTTATTACTTGGAAATGGTTGAGATTCCTACCCTATAACCATATGAAATTGCTGAGTATAAAGAGAAAATGCACATATTCTTCCAGGATGGCTCAGGGATCTGGCTCCACCCTTGGAGACTTAACCCCTTGGTCATAACTTCGAAAAGGTTGAGATCCCCACCCCAAAACTATATTGACAATTGTTGGGCATAAAGAGACAAATGCTGTCATGATATTAAAATGACCCCAGGATCTGCCCCACCCTTGCAAACTTAACCCTTTGGTCATAACTTTGAAACGTTGAGATCCCCACCCCCAAAACTATATATACAAATGCTGGGCATAAAGAGACAAATGTAGTCATGATATTAGAATTGACCCTGGGGTTTGGCCACAACCCTTGGGACCTAGTTTCTTAGTCACAGCTTGGAAACAGTTGAGATCCCCACCCCATAATTATATAACCATACATAAACTTGCTGGGCATGAACAATCTAATACAGATATGCTGCAAGGTTTGGCCTTAGGGTCTGTCCCATTCCCTTCGATCTTATTAGTAGAATATTTTGCCATGATTGCTTAGATAACCAGGTGAGCAATAAAGGCCCTCAGGGCCTCTTGTTTTGTCATGTTTTGTTTCCATCATGTCCATCAAGTATTTAGTTTCATATAAATTCAATCTAAGGCTAGATTTGACAAACAATATACAAACAACAATATAGTTGATTTTTACTGTATTGATATAAATATTGTATAAAGATTATACCAGACAAGCTTTATATAAATGTTAAGGTGGTTCATGTTGATCATTGCAGTGTCTTTATAATCTTGATTTAAATGGCTCGTTCATTGAATACAAGCTTGAGTCAGTGACTAAAAATTTCAAGTAGGTACTAAAAACTACTTGTTCCAATACCTATGGCTCCAGATCTTCATGTTTCTCTATAATACAAACACAGATCTTCATGTTTCTCTCTAATACAAACACAGATCTTCATGTTTCTCTATAATACAAACACAGATCTTCCTGTTTCTCTATAATACAAACACAGATCTGAATTGCAATGTGCCATTATATTGGTTTATTGTTACACCACTAATAGTTGATTAAAATAATTAATTCATAATGTATTTTTTGTGAATTGCTTGCAGACTACTTCGGCGGATGGGCTTGTTTCACAGTCTCCATTATAATGATTGGTGTACTGACTGGATTGATTGGTGATCTGGCTTCAGGTTTTGGTTGTACAATTGGACTAAAGGATGCCGTCACTGCCATCTCCTTCGTTGCCCTTGGAACCAGTATTCCAGGTATAGTATCAATAACTAAGATTGGAAGATACCAGCCTTTCACCTTACTTTTAACATCACATTAACATATTACAGAGATATACTGGCCTTTCACCTTACTTTAACATCACATTACAATATTACAGAGATATACCGGCCTTTCACCTTCCTTTAACATCCCATTACAATATTACAGAGATATACCGGCCTTTAAACCTTACTTTAACATCACATTACAATATTACTGATATATACCGGCCTTTCACCTTACTTTAACATCACAATACAATATTACTGAGATATACCGGCCTTTCACCTTACTTTTACATCACATTACAATATTACAGAGATATACCGGCCTTTCACCTTACTTTAACATCACATTAGAATATTACTGAGATATACCGGCTTTTCACCTTACTTTAACATCACATTACAATAGTACAGAGATATAACGGCCTTTCACCTTACTTTAACATCACATTAGAATATTACTGAGATATACCGGCTTTTCACCTTACTTTAACATCACATTACAATATGACTGAGATATACCGGCCTTTCACCTTACTTTTACATCACATTACAATATTACAGAGATATACCGGCCTTTCATCTTACTTAAACATCACATTACAATATTACAGAGATATACTGACCTTTCACCTTACTTTAACATCACATTACAATATGACTGAGATATACCGGCCTTTCACCTTACTTTTACATCACATTACAATATTACAGAGATATACCGGCCTTTCACCTTCCTTTAACATCCCATTACAATATTACAGAGATATACCGGCCTTTCACCTTACTTTAACATTACATTACAATATTACTGAGATATACCGGCCTTTCACCTTACTTTAACATTACATTACAATATTACTGAGATATACCGGCCTTTCTCCTTACTTTAACATCACATTACAATATTACAGAAATATACCGGCCTTTCATCTTACTTTAACATCACATTACAATATTACAGAGATATAACGGCCTGTCACCTTACTTTAACATCACATTACAATATTACTGAGATATACCGGCTTTTCACCTTAATTTAACATCACATTACAATATTACAGAGATATCCCGGCCTTTCATCTTACTTTAACATCACATTACAATATTACAGAGATATCCCGGCCTTTCATCTTACTTTAACATCACATTGCAATATTACAGAGATATACCGGCCTTTCATCTTACTTAAACATCACATTACAATATTACAGAGATATACCGGCCTTTAAACCTTACTTTAACATCACATTACAATATTACTGAGATATACCGGCTTTTCACCTTAATTTAACATCACATTACAATATTACAGAGATATACCGGCCTTTTACCTTACTTTAACATCACATTACAATATTACAGAGATATACCGGCCTTTTACCTTACTTTAACATCACATTAGAATATTACTGAGATATGCCGGCCTTTCACCTTGCTTTATCATCACATTACAATATTACAGAGATATACTGGCCTTTCACCTTACTTTAGTATCACCTTAAAATATTTCAGAGATATACCGGCCTCTCACCTTACTTTAACCCTTTCAACCCTATATAACTTCAGTAGACTCTATCAGGCATTGATCACGATAAATTTATTATGGTCTATAGTGGCGAAAGGGTTTACATCACATTACAATATTACAGAGATATACTGGCCTTTCAACTTATTTTAATATCAAATTAAAATATATCAGGAATATAACAGCCTATCACCTTACTTTAATTTCACATCAAAATATTTCAGGAATATACTGGCCTCTCGTCGTACTTTAATATCACATCAAAATATTTCAGGGATATATCAGCCTCTCACCTTACTTTTAACATCACATTAAAATATTTCAGGAATATACCGACCTCTCACCTTACTTTTACCCTTTCACCCCTATATAACTTCAGTAGACTCTATCAGGCATTAATCAAGATGAATCTATTATGGTCTATAGTGGCGAAAGGGTTAACATCACATTACAATATCACAGAGATATACTGGCCTTTCAACTTATTTTAATATCACATTAAAATATTTCGGGAATATAACACCTATCACCTTCCTCTAACATCACATGATAATGTTACTTCATTCACTTCAGTAAGCCCCTCTTTGACAGTAGGTATTGTGGTATGGTATTTTCTTAATTAAGTTAAGTCATGGTCAAAGTTTTGCTTTGTTACTAATGTTATCTGTCTAAAGTGTCAGTAAATGTTTGTGAACAATTTGCAAATGGAACAAAGGGAGTTAACTCTTATTTCATTTAAAGCAACCTTTTCACATAAACTACTTCCAATTTTGCTGAAATAAACGATATCAATAGAATACCACTCATAACTGAAAAATCCTGTTGAATTTCTTGCAAATTATCCATGTCATACTATGCAAATGAAGAAAGTGACGTAATAGCCATGAGAGGCTACAAATGAGAACTCTGTCTAAACCAGATGTACATATACATCTCTAAAGACACGGACATGGTTGAGTTTGTACAATATGAAACATATCAATGTTGACCTATTCACAAGCTCAACAAGAGACTTTTCCCTATGTCCAAATTTGTACTAACTGCCATTAGTGTGTATATCTTGATGTGTGCATAATCCTTGGGCCTAGGGAATTCAGAGGTGTATAAATAAAGGTTGGTGCCTTCTTAGGGGCAGATGGGCAGACCCAAAAATAGAAAAAACATTAGAAACCTGTAAAGGGACTGAACCTAATTTGACATGGAACATCTATGTTTATCATTCCTTTAACTAAGTGGTTAGTGAAGACATACTGGAATAAGGTTGTCTGTTCATCCATCTGTCAGTCTGCCCTGTCTATCGGAAGATCCAGATGTCTTCCCTTACAATTTAATTCAAATTTCTTGAATCTTGACTTATGTACTTGCCACACTTTGACATTGTAAAACCTGCAATGGCTTGATTTGACTATGTTTATGGGAGCTATGCCCCTTTTTAAAAATCATAAGTCAAATTTTGTCCAGATAACTTAACATACAGTTTTTGTCCAGATATCATAACTCCTTATTTGATGTCTAAACTCTAAAGTTGCACAACTGTGTTTGTATTTTCTTATCAAGCATGGTTCATGCATATGTTCTATTGCCACCATGGGATTACAACTTACTGTAATTGTCCTTCTCTGTCTTCATATAACACGTTGATTTGTAAGCTTGATTTGTTTTACTTCAGATACCTTTGCAAGTAAGGTAGCAGCTATTAACGATGAGTATGCCGACTCGTCCATTGGTAACGTGACAGGAAGTAACGCCGTCAATGTGTTTCTCGGCATTGGTTTAGCCTGGTCCATGGCTGCCATCTACCACACATCAAATGGCAACACCTTTAACGTGGTGCCAGGAACTCTGGCTATGTCAGTAACAGTCTTCTGTGTTGAGGCTGTAATGACTGTTGTCATCATATTGATCCGTCGTAAGTTCGGAGGAGAACTTGGAGGACCTGTCCGTAATAAATACTTAACCTCCCTATTCCTGGTTGGATTGTGGCTAATCTACATTGTTATTTCTTCCTTGGTCAGTTATTGTTATATTCCTGGATTTTAAATACACATTTCTAAACATGACAATACACACCAACCAGCTAAATGTCTGTAAGCTTGTGTAGGTACCGGAGCAGTTCACAGGACCATGTGTGGGAATGGTCTATGACTGGTGCCCTTGATGCATCAGAGATGTGCAGATTTTCAGCCCAGTTTGCTGAATCAGAATAGCCTCAAGCCAAGGATGGAGGGGAGGGTCATTGATGAAGTGTGCTTTAAGGAATCTCACAGCTAGATGAGAACATAGAGATGTGCTGTAGCAGACATTCTAACATCATGTAATGAAATCACAAGGCAGTCATATGTTCTGTCCTTACGTGGTGAGTGTTGTGATGTATTGGAGTCTCGGATACATCATCTGTATTGAATGAATGGTTTAGAACAAGTGTGTCTACATGTTGAAGGGATTACAAGAATTGTATGTAGCAGTATTAACTCATTTCAATTATCATACATTCAACTGGTGTTAGATTTTTAAGAATAAATGCAAGTTTTGTCTACTTTGATAATTGAAAAGAGCATTTGCTAGTAGATTAACTCAGATAGAAAATAACAGCTGTGGCATGTCAGAACTATGGTCACAGATGATGAATTGCTACCCAAGAGATCTTTACTACATCCAGCAATAAAGAAAGTTTGTTTAGATTATTTATATTATTTAGTTTGCTGTTTAGAAGTAATGAACTAGAGAGAAAAAATCAGGGGTTTTTAGATTGAATTTTTCAAGAGTTTCTTTTGAAATTTCCTAATTATGTGTATGTTTAATTTATAATGAACAAAGAGTGGTTTGTCTCAACAGGTACAGAAACATTGCTTTGTCTCTGGTGTTGTAAATTATTATTGAATTTGCTCAGAATCCTGATTAAATAATATTTCCATCCAGTGTTTGTCGAGAGGTGAATGAAAGTTTTTTTTTTCTTTTTTTTTTTCAAGTATTTTATATATAAACTGAAGCAAAGCTTCAAATGGCCAGAATATCATTAAAAACAATTTACAGTGGTAATTAATGTAAATTATTTATTACAGTCATTCAAAGGATTTATCAGAACAAATGAAAGAAATTTGTGAAATGAAAAGCATTTTTTTGTTTAGATGTCAACATCATTTAACGGAAAAGATGATTATATTTACAATTCTTGGTATTTTAAATATTAAACTATCATCAGTGTGACACACTTACCTGTCAACATGAGTCCACGGAAATAATGTCTGTGAGGCACACTATACATTCTAATCAACAAACAGAGCAGTTGTCAGTGGTGTAACGACAACGACAGCTGTTAGAGAAGACAACAGAAATGTATACAATTGGGAGGCTAATTTTATTTATTATATTATCATCGGGAACTTAAAAACAAAAAATGATTATATACCTAGAATATACAATGTATTTATTTCAAATACATTTCAAAGGAGTAACAAATCAAATGTTCATTATTATTTCAATGTTAATATAATCAAAGGTGTATTTAGCCCTCATTTCAATGAATCAGTCTTCAGCAGTTATGTTCATATTGTTTTGACAAAGCATTTAGGTCATCATTGATCCCGGGAACTTTATTTTATAGCATTTTATGTTTTACCATTATATTGCATTACTAGATTTTCAGTGTGTTTTTTTTATTGGGGTGATAATAAAGGTCAACAATATTTTAAATTGTTGATTCTAACGAGGAAACAAACAAAGTCAGCAAGTTTTTTTTGTCTCAGGAGCCAGTACGAATCTAGTGTTGATGTATATAAACTGTTTTGTATATAGTTTGATCTCCCTGTTCCATTTTGCACTGGTGTGGCCAGTTTTGTTAAACTGACACCACTCTCGGTGATTTGTGATAACTCATTGCTCCAAAACCCTGTCATAGCTTATAGTGTACAAGGAATGTTTTTAGAGTTGATGATAAAATGATTTATTTGTAGTAAAAAGGGGAAAACTCAAGAAAAATATCAGATATTGTCCATGTATACAAACAATGTCCATGATTTTTGCAAAACAAATTGTTAGTTGCACTAGAATCTACTGTTCAGTGTTTCACAACAATCTAGAGTGTATTTTAACATGTTTCCTTTTTTTTATATTCTGGTGAAGAAAAGTGTTATTGTTCACGACATGAAAATTGCAAATAAGACTGAAAATTTATTTATACAATGTTTGTTGATAATTGTGAATGTGTTAGTGTCTTATTTATTCTGTGTGGGATTAATAGTTATCTTAGATTTATTACACACAATATAATATAGTTTATTTATTGTGACAGGATGTTAATAAGGCATACAATAGAATGTGATGGTCATAAAATGATAAGTCCTTAACTATTATTGTATACTTAATAAATTTTACTTTGCAGAATTGTAATATGAAATTGTTATCCAGAGCTTTAAACTGTATATATTATCTTGTTAAAGACAGTAAATAACATGTCCCAGTTATTCTTTCAGATATTTAACAGTTTAATGGTGAAAAGGCAAAATGTTATTGATTATGCTTTACTTTTCATTTCAACTTCATCTTATTAATAACTTAATTAAAATTATATCAAGTAATCAGAATGAAGCTTTTTACTAATTAGCTGTTAGGCTATCAAAAATATATATATAGAAATTGGATTGCTCTTTACTGAACTACCCTACTGTGTTTACCGCAGTAGAAGTGTTGATCCTAATCTGTCTTATTAGAATGAACTTTGACTAGCTGATCATCACCATGTTAATTATTTCTGTATTTAGCCAAGATATGGAGTTATTTCCTATATACACAAAACACAGCTAATTGTTTATTACTGTAGAAAAGTTACACTTTATTTAAATACACATATTGTTGTGTTTAATGTTAAAATGGAATTAAATCAGTTCTGTCCAATTCCTTTTGTTTGGAATATTATTGAAACTGTTTTTTTGTAGATACTGTACATAATAGTTCAATTACAACATGCAATCTATTAAATATGACATTTTAGGTATATGTAACCTTAATATGGTTAAGATTTTTTTTTTAAAGTTAGATCTTTGGGCATGAAATGTTTGGTCAGTAGGGGACCTATCTTGACTTTTTATCTTGAATCATGCAACTGTGTATACCCAACCTTATTAACCAGTGGTTGTTACATTCCTTACTCCATCAAACATCTCTGTATATAATGTCTTCCTTACTCCATCAAACATCTTTGTATATAAAGTCCATATGATTTGCTCCTTTGTATCAAATGTGATGACTTATTATTATTATTATTGTGGTCCTTTTCCCCCTGTTAGTGATTTGAAGAAGAAATTGTCCATAATTCTGGTCATTTTACACAGTACATGTTGAGAACCATTAAGGGTTAAGGTAGGCCTCTTAGCGGTCCTCTAGCTATGCAGATTATAATTGTTTAAAGAGATTACTGTAAATACTCTTATCTAGAGTTGTGTTTGTGTTGGTTATCACATTATTGTACATGTTTCTAGCTACTGTAGACATGTAGAGCCCTGTAGTTGCATTCCCAGCTGTTCCGTTTACTTTCTGTACGGGATCTACCAGGATTTATATGTGTTCTAGCTTGTACAACCCTCTTCTCTGCAGGTATTTGCAAGTTGAGATTCACTTAACTATTTAAGATTTGGTAGAGTCTCCATCTTGTTTGCAGATTTTACCAGTTCTTACTTGCAGTATACATGTACTTGGTTTTACTTGTACACATTTTCAGCATACTTCGTTTTACCAGTACAGAAATGTACCCAGTTTTACTAGTAAATGTTCAATATTCTCTGCAGGTTTGGCAGGTTCATTAACGACACTGCATGCTTACTAGTAGTGGTTTAATTAACAGTGGATGTTGATTCTACTTTGTATGTTTGACCAGTAGAGGTTGGGCCGATCCACCTTGACTGCTGAACGTGTATACTGGGTGAGAAGTGGCCTGACAATATATACTCTAGTGCTAGTGATCTATATTCCATGGCACCGTCTTATGAAATCCAATTGTTAGACCTGAGCTAGCAGACCATGAAAAGACAATCCCTCACATTATATGGTTTTGAATACCTTATTGAGTAATTCCATTGTTTAATTGGTTTGAGCAGTATCATTTAGATTTCATTTTAAATGTCTTTTATTTGTTTTTCTGTTCAACTATTTGTTTACAGTTTTATTTTAAAATGGAAGTACGATAATTAGAAAAAGTTGGTCAAAGTTATTACCAAGAAAAGTTTTAGGTATTTGCTCATGGAAAGTGTGTGTTTTTAACCATATTGAGATATTTTAAAATAGTTTTAATTTTAAGAATGAAATGTAAATGATACTGCTTATTCAATTAGACATGAAAATGATATAACAGAGGTTAGATATTGACTCATAATGTGTCAAAATGGTAAGACACAAGATAGTTATTGACTTGTATTATGTCAAAATGGGACCATGCCCTTGTTTTGGTAAGTCCATCTTTTCATGAGCAAGTCAGCTCATTTATGAACAAAACAGAAAATGATACTCGTGTTATGAGCAAGAAACATAGTTAGGGATATGCAGACTTGGCCAACAACGTTTATTAATCAAATACATCTGCTAATGAATATTTTCTATACTGCTAATTTTCGGCTTTCGCTGGTGCAATTGCTAAGATGTTTATACATGTTATAATTTCCAGATATTCTGTTACCTCATTGAAGCTTTCTCACTTTTATGTTAAGCATGGTTTGGACTATTTTGAACACAACACTATAGAGAGTAACATTAAACCTTTTGGTATTCCCATTCCACAACTGTTTATTTTCCACGTTAGATATTGTGGTGTTTCTTATGACTTGATTGTGGAAATTGATTTGAATTTGGTTGTCATTTCAATAAAGGGTTGAAGAAAATTATGTCTGGTTATTGTTTGTTGACTGAGTGGATATAAGACACATTGTATATTTCATTGATTTACTGTATACTGGTTTACACTATGTGAAAACTGCCTTGATTCTAACAGAGTTCTGATTTACGTACATGTACACCAATCTAGGTTCAGGTTCACTAATCTACCTCTTGTTTCGGTAGATCTACCTTCAAATGACTATTTTAACATTTTATGATGATTTTGGGGAAATTGAATGTATTACTACAGTCTGAAACAAAATATTCAGTCCTGGCATACGCCAACTTTTAACAGTGTAAACAAAAAACTAGGTTTTGAGTTTGAAATATGTCTCCTGTTGCTCTTTGAACTTATTTTAAAATCATTTTTAGACAAAAGATGATGCATAACAACTTATTATAAGGATACGTTTCTGTAATAACTTACCTGTTGACACATCTATTTAAAAGTATTTTTGCAAAGAGTGTTCCGATGCTAGTCCTGCCTACTTATATCTAGATTCAGATTCACCAATCTCGTAACTCACCGTTCAGATTCACCAATCTAGTAACTCGCCGTTCAGATTCACCAATCTAGTAACTCACCGTTCAGATTTACCAATCTAGTAACTCACCGTTCAGATTCACCAATCTAGTAACTCACCGTTCAGATTCACCAATCTAGTAACTCACCGTTCAGATTCACCAATCTAGTAACTCACCGTTCAGATTCACCAATCTAGTAACTCACCGTTCAGATTCACCAATCTAGTAACTCACCGTTCAGATTCACCAATCTAGTAACTCACCGTTCAGATTCACCAATCTAGTAACTCGCCGTTCAGATTCACCAATCTAGTAACTCACCGTTCAGATTCACCAATCTAGTAACTCACCGTTCAGATTCACCAATCTAGTAACTCACCGTTCAGATTCACCAATCTAGTAACTCGCCGTTCAGATTCACCAATCTAGTAACTCGCCGTTCAGATTCACCAATCTAGTAACTCGCCGTTCAGATTCACCAATCTAGTAACTCGCCGTTCAGATTCACCAATCTAGTAACTCGCCGTTCAGATTCACCAATCTAGTAACTCGCCGTTCAGATTCACCAATCTAGTAACTCGCCGTTCAGATTCACCAATCTAGTAACTCGCCGTTCAGATTCACCAATCTAGTAACTCACCGTTCAGATTCACCAATCTAGTAACTCGCCGTTCAGATTCACCAATCTAGTAACTCACCGTTCAGATTCACCAATCTAGTAACTCGCCGTTCAGATTCACCAATCTAGTAACTCACCGTTCAGATTCACCAATCTAGTAACTCGCCGTTCAGATTCACCAATCTAGTAACTCACCGTTCAGATTCACCAATCTAGTAACTCGCCGTTCAGATTCACCAATCTAGTAACTCACCGTTCAGATTCACCAATCTAGTAACTCGCCGTTCAGATTCACCAATCTAGTAACTCACCGTTCAGATTCACCAATCTAGTAACTCGCCGTTCAGATTCACCAATCTAGTAACTCACCGTTCAGATTCACCAATCTAGTAACTCACCGTTCAGATTCACCAATCTAGTAACTCGCCGTTCAGATTCACCAATCTAGTAACTCACCGTTCAGATTCACCAATCTAGTAACTCGCCGTTCAGATTCACCAATCTAGTAACTCGCCGTTCAGATTCACCAATCTAGTAACTCACCGTTCAGATTCACCAATCTAGTAACTCGCCGTTCAGATTCACCAATCTAGTAACTCACCGTTCAGATTCACCAATCTAGTAACTCGCCGTTCAGATTCACCAATCTAGTAACTCACCGTTCAGATTCACCAATCTAGTAACTCGCCGTTCAGATTCACCAATCTAGTAACTCACCGTTCAGATTCACCAATCTAGTAACTCACCGTTCAGATTCACCAATCTAGTAACTCGCCGTTCAGATTCACCAATCTTGTAACTCACCGTTCAGATTCACCAATCTAGTAACACGCCGTTCAGATTCACCAATCTAGTAACTCGCCGTTCAGATTCACCAATCTAGTAACTCATCGTTCAGATTCACCAATCTAGTAACTCACCGTTCAGATTCACCAATCTAGTAACACACCGTTCAGATTCAAATATACTGTATATTCTATTACAAGGTTAACATGGTCAATATTAAGGTATTTAGGCTGACGTTTTGCTAAAACCGTTCACTGGAATTTTGCTACCTAATTGAATGCTACGAAATGACATATTATCTAAAGGCCATTCATTCTCTTCCGCTAGAAGTTATGGAGCGGTATAACAGCCTCAAAAGGAGACGACTGTGGGTATGGACATTCACAAAAGTCATAGTAACAAGGAACATACTTTACAGGTATATACATGTAAATGTAAAACACATTGCCTTGTGACTGCAATGGTTGCATAAACTTTACATAAAGCGTCTATTCGTAACATTTAATATTCGGCATTTGATATGATATATATAAAAGCTAGACATGTTATAAACATTATAATGTTTTTCATTTACAATAATTATAACATATCATACGCATTTATAAAACCACAGATTATTTAAAATGACACATCATCTGAAGATCATTTATCTATCTAGGTCATTTAGCCTTTGTTTTCTTATTTATAATATGCTAAACTATATTTCTAGGGAATTTACCAAAATAAAAGCCCTTATAATTGGGGATAAGGAATGCAGGTGGAATGCAAACATTTGTCTCGGAAAAAGCATTGCGACGTCACAATTGAAGTGACGATACTATGAAGAAATATGGACCCTCTAGTCTGGTATATCTAAAAATTGTTTACCACCTGGTCAATATATCAAATCAGCAGCCTCCTCGTGATTATGATTTAAACAATTAGGATAAAAGAGAGAATTGTTTCATCTCATATTATTGCAATAAGAACCCCCTTCCTATGACGTCATCATCTTCCTTGTAAAACACAGAAGCACTGCAGTAGTACCCCTTCCCAGAAACTTCTACCATCCACCATACGTCACTTCCTGTACAGCCTTGGCCTGGAATTCGGATTTGACATAGCTCCTGAAGGTCCTAGTCTGGTTGAGTTTGACGTGTCCTTTGTGGTACAGAAGCGCCACCCTGGCAGTAGTACCGGATCCACACGGGGACCTGTCCAACTTTAAAACATGTAGAGGTTAATAGCAGATTTCAGAATGATTATACAGAATTTTACCCAAACGGGGACCCGTAAAAACTGTGAAATACGTACAGCTAAAGTGGATAGCAGAACGATTACAGTAAATGCTTTTAAAGTGTTTTAATGGAATTTGAACCCTCGAACAGGTTTAGCAGAACCGGTATCCTATGGCATGTCTTGTTTTTTTTTCGTTATAAGAGAGGCAACTCTTACTAAGAAGAACGTTTTCCTCCGAGAAAACAAACGCACGTTACCTGTTTCTCTGCGAACACACAGGTGTGTGAAGACGGGATGTCCGTCCGTTCGTCCTGTCCGTCCTTTATCACTGTAGCAAAGAGGAAGGCGAGGTCGTCACTGTCCGGATGGCTTAGCGTCAGCTGTTTCTCCAGGGCGTCTAAAGGAAACATGTTACATATCAGCTTGTATTAAGACTTCTAGTCTTGCTTCATGTAGGGTCAAGGATATCAACACATTACACTATATAATTATTATTGTCACCGTAGTTAAATATTTGTTAAAGTCCTTTCAAATAAAGTATTTCATGAAAATGACCTGTTGCGTTGCACGTAACAGAATTATAGTTGTTCGATATAACCTACACTTTACAAATAATGTCATTAACGAACTATTCAAATACTATTTAAATAGTTCCTTATTATATGACCTGGAATATCTTAATATAATTAATGATACTATTAAAACAGTTAAATTACAGTATTGCCTTCCTATATATAATCCTGAAAATATAGTTGGTATACCTGATTCAGATTTACAGTTTGTTATAAATGATCAGTTATTTTTAGAAACACTATTAATGGAAATTAGAGGTAAGTCAATTTCATATTCTTCCTATAAAAAGAAACAGTGTTGGGCAAGGGAAAAGACCTTAATAGATCAAATACATGAACTGGAAAATGAGAATAATGTAGACTTAGATAAGTTACTTGAGAAAAAAAAAGAATTGGAAAAGACTAGAGTACATAGGATAAAAGGGAGTATAATACGTGCAAAAGCCTTATGGATTGATGAGGGTGAAAAACCTACCAATTATTTTTTTAATTTAGAAAATAGACATTTTACATCAAAAATCATTCCAAAGTTACAACAGGAAAATGGGGAATTTCTAACTAAACAAGTAGATATATTAAATGAGGTGAATTTTTTTTATAAACAATTGTAATTTATTGATAATGAAGTCGTTGACATAGATTTGGATGAATTTTTAGAAGATTTTGATGTTCCAAGATTAAATGTTGAAGAAGCGGTCAGTTTGGAAGGTATTATTACACTTAAAGAAGCATCTATAACACTAAAGAATATGAAAAGTAATAAGAGCCCAGGCTCAGATGGATTCACATCAGAATTTTATAAATGTTTTTGGAATCAGTTAGGTAATTTTGTGGTTAGGGCATTAAATTATGGTTTTTCAAATGGTCAGCTATCTATTACACAACGTCAGGGAATAATTACTTGTATACCTAAGGCTAATAAATCAAAGTATTTTATAAAGAATTGGAGACCTATTTCTCTATTAAACATTGTATACAAAATTGCTTCTGGATCAATAACAAGTAGATTCAAATTAGTTTTACAAAAAATTATAAACTCTGATCAATCAGGATTTATATCGGGACGCTATGTAGGAGAAAATACTCGCCTGGTTTATGACATTATGCAATATACAGAGGAAAATGATATCCCTGGAATGTTATTAATGGTTGATTTTGAAAAGGCTTTCGATTCTGTCTCTTGGAAATTCATAGACGAAGTACTTAGATATTTTGGATTTGGAAACGATATCAGAAATTGGGTCAAAATTTTACACTGTAATTCAAGCTCTGCTATAAACCAGGGGGGTAATTTATCAGCTTTTTTCAAAATAAATCGTGGATGTCGTCAAGGAGATCCCATCGCTCCATATATTTTTATACTATGTGCAGAAGTTTTAGCAATCCGCCTTAGAAACAATAAGAGTATAACTGGTATAAAGGTTAATAACTGTCCCATCTTAAACTCTCAGTATGCAGATGACACTTCTCTGGTATTAGATGGTTCTGAAAAATCACTGAAAGGGGCGGTTGATGAACTAAATATTTATGCAAAAATATCTGGTCTTAAAGTAAATGTAGGTAAAACTGAAGTTGTCTGGATAGGCAGTAAAAAATACAGCAATGATGTTCTCCTTCCAAATATGAATCTTAGATGGGGAGTTAATAAATTTACTCTTCTTGGGATAGATTTCCATGTAGATCTTTGCAAAATACCTAAAATGAACTTTGATAAAAAATTAGTTAAACTTAAAGCTCTTATTAAGAGCTGGAGTAGAAGGTTGCTCACACCTATTGGTAGAATTAATGTCATTAAATCTTTATTAATTTCTCAGATGAATCATCTGTTCATTTCCTTACCTAATCCATCTGAAAAATTTATAAAACAGCTCAATTCTGTTCTTTTCAATTTTTTATGGAATAGCAAAACTGATAAGATTAAACGGGACATAATAATCCAAAATTATCAAGAAGGTGGGCTAAAAATGGTTAATTTAATGTCTTTTATTGAAGCTCTGAAAATAAGTTGGATAAGAAGGTTTTTTAGATCAGAAGGTAAATGGGTAAGCATTTTAAAATCTTGTGTAAATCCTCATATCTTGGCTAACTCAGGAAACGAGTACCTTAATAAAGTTCAAGGAAATTGCAAAAATGTGTTTTGGAAAGATGTGTTTAGGGCATGGTATAAATTAAGAGCAAAAGAGGAGCTGTTTAAAAATGAGAATTTTGCCCTACTTAAGACACCCTTATGGTATAACAAAAATATTTCTGTTGGTAATAAAGTTGTTTTTTATAGTAAGTGGTTTAAAAACGGGATTATGATAATTAATGATTTGTTGAAAAACAACACAGACTACTCTTTCTTGTCTTTTAAGGAATTTTGTGATCTACATGGTACAATAACTAATTATCTAGAATATCATGGCTTGATAACAAGCATAAAGAATTATCTGAAACAACTTAATTTGCCAAACAAAAATGTGATATACCCAATTATACCGTTACATCTTGTAATAATTTTAAAGAAGAAAAAAGGTTCTCAAGACTTCTATAATATACTTATCAGAAATAATGCATCAATAACTGCTCAAACAAAATGGGGAACTATATTCGACTATAATCAGGAAACTTGGGGGAAAATATATGCTATTCCTTTCAGGGTTACAAAAAATACAAAATTGCAATGGTTGCAATTTAGAATTAATCATTATATTTTAACAACCAATTCTTATTTATGCAAAATTGGACTTGTAAATAACCCACACTGTGTTTTTTGTATCATAGAAAGGGAGACAATTACCCACGTTTTATGGGAATGCAGGGAAGTACAAAAATTTCTGAGCAATTTTGAAAGTCTTTTAAGTGCTCTCACTATTCCTTTCTCACTAAATAAAGAATCAATGATCTTTGGTTTTATCAACCAAACTGGAATTTATACCAGAATTGATAATGAAATTACTCTGTTCATTAAACAATATATATACAAAACCAGATGTTTTCATAAGTCACTTAATGTGACGGCTTTAGTCAATTCGATTAAAGATTACTATAAGGTTCAGAAATATATTGCTCGTGGTAAAGGGGAACAAGGCCTTAGAAGATTTACTTCTGAATGGGAAAAATGGTTAAAATTAGTAGAGCTTGANAAAAAAAAAAAAAAAAAAAAAAAAAAAAAAAAAAAAAAAATCAAATACAATGGTTCATTTTCTATAAAGACAGGAGAATACATATGTACTCCAAGTTAAGAGAAAACTCTGAGTGGAATTCCTCTTTGCGATTATAACGGAAACATTGATACCCTTTACCTTAATATTTATGCAGTAAATGAAGTCCTTTTGTCCCCCTACATCGACTTAGCATTTGCTAACAATATTTGTCAAATACTATCCAAATACATTTTTTTCGTTTTTAAGGGGAAATTAAACTGCATATCAATTTGTCCTAAATATCTTACTCGTACAATGTAAAAAGCTCTGTAATAGATAAGACAGTTCGGACTAGTTCACACTTCAACATTCTAATGAGTTGTTCAACAGATAAATCGGTCCGGGGGCAAAACGTTGATAACCATAGTGTAACGAGTTCAACTATTTGTGATACCGTTAGTCGTTACGTGTAAAGTGTACAAGGTATTAAAACCAGTATTCGTGTGCTTCTATTCAACGTCTTTGACTCTTCCGTATAAACCTTTTTAAAATCGCAATTCTTCTTGATCTAAACTTATAAGGACTTAAATGATTTACCTGTTCTGACCGCTGAAACAGATCTAATGATTCACCTGTTGTGGCGGCTGCCGCAGAGCTATTGATTTACCTGTTGTGGCCGCTGCCGCAGACCTGATGACGTCTGGAGCAACCTCTCCCAACCGGAAGTTGTACTGACTGTCCGGTACAAAGGCGAAGAACGATCCTCCGTATGCAATGTCTACTGTCACGTGACCATATCCAGGAACAACCACCCTTACATCTGAATGCAAAGGAGCGAAGTGTACATGCTGAGTGGGCAATACAAAGTGTAAGCTATAGGAGAATGAGCCAGGTTGGAAACAAAACAAAGAAGACTTGCATAACATTCCGACATGGGAAAGAATGCAATTTCTCATATTAGCGTGCCGCCAACAAACATAAACTGATTTGACAAGTAATGTAACTGCCCATTCAACTTGTGTCTTGGAACTTGAGGTTTAGTCATTATCCAAAAAGTGTTAATTAGCATTGGACAAATTATACAGAGATGACTGCTGGTCATGGTTCGCAGTATGGCACGGTAGCGAGTGGATAGTTAAACATTTTACTTGTCTGTAGCGTGGAGCTATACGTTGTTTTTATATAGCTACAACCATAATGTAGATAATGCTGTGTGGATACATATGAACAACGTATTTCATGACTCTCGCGACAAACAAGAGACCTACTATACGGTGATAACACATCTCATCAAACCGATATAGCCATGTAGATACCGCTTTAACCAACAATCAAAACGTTATCGCCAGAGATGCTACTGTGGCACCCCTGGGTTGCCAGGAGTCTCGATAGTCGTCTAAAAAGTAGGAACTGGTAGAGGAAAACAGAAGGCAAGATAGGAAGTGTTCAGAAAACTCTTCTTTCGATCAGCCACAAAGATAGTAGGCTGGAGACGGAAACAAAAGTCACAGAACTGAAAAAAGAAACGCTGAAACGGAAGAGAGACATGTATGACGAAAAAAAAGAACACAGCTGAAAAAAAGACAACGAATCAAATATCTTGAAAGTTTTATTTGCTCAATACTGCGGGGAGAAATCAAAAACTGTAGATGAATTTGATTTGAAACAAAGAAGAAAAGTAAAGATAATATGAAAAATTGTGAAAAGACTAAAATAAAGACAAGTGAAGATCAACGGAGAATAATCTTCCCTTTGTGAGTTTAAGCAAAAATATGAAAGAAAAAAACGAATTGAAGCTGAAAAATCCATTCAATGGACTTGGAACTAATGACGTTGGAAACACAACAAATGGCAAACCTAGACTCAATTATGATACTTGTATGACTCGAGTCCTTCACTATCTTAGAACACTCAGTTTTACATCAACGTGCTGTTTCCAAGGGATACGAGAGAAAGAAGAAGACTCCTTAATCCAGAAATGAAAGAGCAGCGTGAAAGGAGCATATTTGACTTAATTGGTAAGAGACCATTTGATGGTCGACGGGAAACTCTACACGGGCCATCAAATCGACGTAGAAAAACAGAGGTTAAGACATCGTTTGTTTACATTGTTTTCCTGTACTTTTCTGCCAAAAGAGTTCCATTAAGGCCGCTTAGGCTGCGAAAAAGTTAAGGAAATTTTACTTAGCTAAGGAGCTCCTTAGTTAAGTTAAGGAACGTTCATGAAACGCATTTTTCGGAAAACCTTAGCTAAGGAATTCCTTAGCGATTTTAAGTTAAGGAAACAGTTAAGTTAAGGAACGTTGATGAAACCGGGGCCAGTAGTTATAACAGCTACCTCCTAAATATAAACTAAAAAATAAGTAAAACTTTAGCAAAGAAAATATCTAAATGTAAATTCTTGAAAAAGTACGATGAGAATACGACCAAGTGTTCCGGAGGGCAAAGCTTCTTCTGTTCCGTCGACGACACTTGTAAAATGAATCTAAAACAAACCCGAGTAATGCCACGTCCTCAAAGGAAGAACCAGAGTAGCGACAGCACACTTATGAGCATACACAAAACCAGTCACCGTCATACCCAAGGAAAGTACTATTGCCCAATGAGATAAACATGGCGACCAGAAAACTTGTCCGTATTTTTCCTCAAACTGCATCGTCTGAAACCTAGTGCTAGAAAAAAACCAAGAGTATACCGAAGCGTCAATGAAACCATAATTCAAGTAATGCCACGTCCTCACATCAAGTAATGTCACGTCCTCACATCAAGTAATGTCACGTCCTAACATCACGTAATGCCACGTCCTCACATCACGTAATGTCACGTCCTCACATCAAGTAATTCCACGTCCTCACATCAAGTAATGTCACGTCCTCACATCAAGTAATGTCACGTCCTAACATCACGTAAGCCACGTCCTCACATCACGTAATGTCACGTCCTCACATCAAGTAATTCCACGTCCTCACATCAAGTAATGCCACGTCCTCACATCAAGTAACCGGATAGTGATAACAAACCACAAGGCGCTCTAATGAGCATAAGTTAAAACATCGACCTTTATATCACACAAAGAAACAGCATATTTTGTCTGTGAGATCATGAAGGCTACCATAAAACTTGTCCTTAGTCTTAATTAACCTGCATCTTTGGAAACCCTGAGTTGTTAGTTTGTCCGTCAGCAGTCGACATCTATCATGGAAGTCGTGACATTCGGAGCAAAGTCTTGAGTACAGAATCTACTGCGACATGTAAACATCGTAGGTAGGGGAAACATGGATGCTGCTACAGAAAAAGGTATATACCATTGATGTGGTGATTGAATTTCTCGTATTCAAACTTCCCTTTTTTTCGAACAACATCACGGAAATCATGATATTCTGAGAAAGCATGTAAATACCGAATCTACTGCGGCATGTAAATACCGAATCTACTGCGGCATGTAAACACATGGGAAGCAGAGAGAAAGAGAAAGTTTTGAAAATCGAAACTGTTACGCTTATCGTACAGATTATGTCACGTTTTAAGTTAAGATCGGTAAAATCTGCCGATGTAGAAGGGCCTATTCCGTCTTTGCGTATTGCAGAGTTATCTTCTCTTGATAACAGGTATTGATTGTTACGTCATTTGTTTATGAGAGTAACGTCATCAATTTTTGAGAAAACGAGGTAATTTTCTCACACAAACCAATGACGTAACAATCAATACCTGTTCTCAAGAGAAGATAACTCTGCAATACGCAAAGACGGAATAGTGTCCGGGGGTATGCATTTCTTGTTTTCGGCACGTCGTCTATATATGTGAATGTGAACATTTTGGGAATTGGTTAGGGTACTGTTACCAGTCCTGATAATCAATAAATAAGCTGTTAGAGTTGTTGGAAGTTTAGGGCTTGCAATATAAAGTTTCTCGTAGAATGTGGTAATGGAATGATGTACCCGGCGAAGAGTGAATATGTAATCTATACACAAGAAGCGATTAAAGAGATGAATATCACAATCTGTTTGTATGGGAAAATCCCTGCATGCGAGGAAGTAAAAGTAAACCAAAGTATCGGTGTTACTATGAGAGATCAAATACATGGACGTTTAATACTTTATGCTATTATGTTACAGGAAACTAACTAATTCTGCTTGTCAAATTATAGTGATAATTATTCAGAATATTAATATGCAAAACTGACATCCTACCTATTTATATATTGATATACTATTGATTTTACGAATTCATGTTTGTATGATTATTGTAATACTACATGATATAATTATTACGCACTTTGCTACACTGAAGTAATTTGAATATGATAATAGAAATATCATTGTCATTGGTTGTGGCTGATCACTACCGGTGTTAACGTTGAATCGCGACACAGCGCGGCAGCAATTTCATCACTGCTGGAAATTGTTCGCAAAAAGGCGCTGCGGTAGGTGGATTACTGCAGGTGCTTTATTGCGATCCATCGCGGTAGCGGATGGATTTCCGCATGCGGCGGTTTGCGACATGCCGCGGTGGTGATTGATTACTGTTGGTGTTGGTTATCGACAAGGCGTGTTTGCGGGAGGATATCATGCAGGGACCTCTGCTGCTGGTGGTTCGCGCCACAAACGCGGTGGTAGATGAGTGTGATACAGGGATCACTGCTGCTGGTGGTTCGCGCCACAAACGCGGTGGTAGATGAGTGTGATACAGGGATCACTGCTGCTGGTGGTTCTCGGCAAGGCGTGTCTGCAGGTGGACATCATGCAGGGGTACTGCTGATGGTGGTTCGCGACACAATGCGGTGACGGAAGGGTGTTATACCGGGATCACTCTTGGTGTGTAGGTTCACCAAGCGTCGTGGTGGCGAGAGGATGGAAAAATAATTTAATCCCTGTCGGGTTGTGTTTCTGTGTAACCCCACCTTATCCTCTGATATTTTGTTATACAAAATGTAACACTGTAATCCGTTGATGAACTCTAATGTCATTTTCTGGTTGTTTAGGTGGTTTACTAGGTCATCAATGGGTGAAGATGACTCCAATACTTAGTTTCTAATATTGAGCCATACGTGTGATACCATGAGAAATATGACGCCTTATGTCAAACAATTGTCCGATATGTTATCATATTTGCGTGGTCTCTTTCAACTCAACTTGTATCACAGCTAAAAACATCATCTGTATAATAAACTGTTTGCGGTTTGATGATAATGGAATACAATAATAAATTAATAATATTTATTTTGAAGGGATTAATTTCATTTTATTGTTGCCACATATAACACAAATTCAATACTGTACATAAGCATTTACATATTGGTTTGCTGTTGAAACACTTGTTTTAACAAAATCTGTTGCTGGATTCAATATGTTATAGCAGCTTGTAAAACTCAATAGTTAGGTACGAGTGATGGACATAGGATGACCACATCAAAACAAAGAATTGTTGATTTAATTATATCTACATAAATCAAACTCAAATGGCTTCAAATGTACCTACGCTTTGTGTAAGCAAATTTTACTTCCTGCCCTTTAGTACAACGGGGGATTTTTCTATTGCCTACACCAGGAAGTAAAGACAACGACTGTAAATAATCATATCATGTTATCCCAAGTGAGATGTACCATAGATGGTCCACCGTCAGAATAACTTCACGCGTGCAGAAACTTCAGAAACGCATACACTGATCTTTAACGGTGTTATAATGACGAAAGGAGAAGCAATTGAAATTCCATCAAAAGAACGAACTGTCTCGAATATCAGGCGGGGTTGATTGTCGAAAATTTCTGAAGTGACAATGACAATGCCATTTTTTTAGAGAGCTGTATAATATTTACATCATGTAACTATTACAATAAGTATACATAAATTAATACATAAACACATCAGTACATAAATCTATAAATAGGTACGGCATACATTGTACGTGTAAACATTCTTATAGTTATTATGGTAATAAATGTGACAAGGGAGATTATCAATTTTCTGGTACAAAACCGAATTAGTTATGGAACATATTTTCCCTCTAAAATAATGGCGACACGTTAGTTTACCTTTTCTCTCATCTATGCACGGGGTTTTCGCATTCCGGCAGATAATTATATTCATCTCTTCATTAATTTCTTGTGCATGTATTATACTCTCGCCCTTGCGTTTATTATTCCATCAATCAAATCAATACAGGAATTTTTATATTGCATGCCTTACACTTACAAAAGTTAACAGCTAATTCAGGATGTCCTCTCATTTAGAAACTTTCATAATAATAGTTCATGTTAAGATATTCTGTAATTTGCACTTCAAATTTCCTGTTTGCCAAAAAGACATGAATAGCTTGTAACCAAAACAATTTTCC